TAGTTTTGATTTCCCACCCCCACTTTTACTTACAGCTAAGGCACAACTATTCACGTCCCGAGCTGAAGCTCAGAGGGTAAAGCATATCAGATCAGGCCTCAATTAATGAACTCAAAAGCCTCATATAGCTGCGGTGCAGGTGTGTTGAGGGTTAGGGATTGCATTTTAATGTTCCAGCGTGCTGTCATTGCTGAGTTTGAGGATATAGTCTGTTAGACATCCAGCATGAGATTAACTTCCCTTCTGTCATGCTGCCTGCTCCTGAATAATCCCCCCCTTCCCTGTGAAAGCACATCAAGTGTTATAGGGTGAATACATAAGGGTTTGCTGCTTTCTCCCTGCGAGTCTGTTCAGCCTTGCTGTATGTGCAGGATAGTACATGTGGAAATTGTAATTGCAAGCCCATTATTATTATTGCTATAATTTATTGTTAGTGTGTTTTTTATTTTATGGTGCCCACGTGTGCGGGTAATTCACGGAGAAGTACACTTACGCCATTGGAAGGTGGGAAGGCTTTAGTTAAGTGCAATAGCCTTGGATTCAGTTTTCATACCTGCTTCTGTCTTAACGCTTCCTCCCTTGACTGCAGGCAAATCAATTTGGGCAGCTTCAAACGGCTCTGTTGTATTGAATGGTGCTTTGGGAGTGACTGAGCCCTGCGCTGTTTGTTTTCAGTGAGGGACAATTGGTTCAAGACCTAAAGTCTGAGTGTACCTGATCCTCTGCTACGTAGTGAAATAGGCTTAGCACTCTGCAGGAGGGGAGGAGGGACAGATATGAGTAAGTCAACCTCTTAAACAGATGTGAGTTGCTGACTATGAGATAAGCCAGATATGAAGGCAGATAAATATCTGTTTCAAAGAGGCTACCGTCTAAATAGAAACTACACAACAAATACGATTGTCTTCTATCTCACACTGATGACCGCAGTTGCTGCCTACTACCTGGTGCTGGAGAAGGCTGACATGGCTTTAACGGCCCCACTCTGGCAGGGTATGGAGATCTCTTACCTAGATCTGGGGCACGCATCCGAAGCTCTGGGTGCTGAATCAGTCAGTGGGTCCCACCTTTGTGAGCAGGATGACGGAGCAATGCTTACATTACATCAGAAGTGCTCATCCAAAGGAGCTGCATTCAAGCTGCCTGCTTTGGTGTCCAATAGGTGAAGAAGACCAATTCAGATTACCAGTGAGCAGTGTTTAAACTGGGTTTATAAGAGATGGGCTGCAACCAGCATCCTGCCCAACCAATGGGATCTGACCATCCGTTCATTGAATCGAATGTGGGTCAGTCTGTTGGAAGGGTATGGCCTTCCACGTGGTGAAATCAGAGCTGCTAAGGTGAATCTTTGCAACTTCCTTGTGTAAGGCTGGCTTTGTACGGCTTTCAATATGTCTGCAGGATGTTTTCATGAGCCCAACGCTTGCCAAAAGTTCACAGATCAGTTACAAAACAGATGTACTTTTTTTTTTTTCCCTCTCCCCTTCTTCCTACTGGTAAGGAAGAGTTTGTGCAGTAATTGCAGGCAGGTTGGGAGATGTTTTCTTCATAATTCTCCTTCTTATGAAATGTTTATGAAACACCTTCCACAAATCGGTTACGCAAGCAGGCTGAAGAGCTTTGATCACTTTCCATCACCCTCAATATGTTTCTTAGTTTGTTTTGCTTTTTGTTTCTGCGTTTAGGCCAGCGATAGGGAAGAAACAACCCGTCCTTGCCCAGGCCCAGCAGATGTGCTAGCCAACTAAGGAAAGGACTCTCTTTCCACACAGTCACCCTTCCTGTGTTTTTCACTCCCATAGCTTGAGGGCTGCTGACCCTATTTTAAGGCTGCGAAAACATCCACTTGAGATTTGCAAGCGTGATTCCTTTCCTATCCCAGAGCCCTCCTTAGCTCTGCGTTCCGGTGCCGCCACCTGCCGTTACCTCCTCGGGAGGAGCTCGGAGCTGCTCCCGGCCCTGCCCGGAGACTCCCCTGCAGCCCAAAGGGAAGAAGGTGCCTCTGAATTCGCAGCCAGCAGCCCAGGCTCCGCACCTCGCCTCAGCTGTGAGCTGTGAACAGGATGTGCTCGCGGTGCGCTACCTGGTCCCGCTGCTCTCCAAGCTTCTCCTTAGATTGTGTTACATCCCCAAATCGAATTCAATGGGAAGAAACTCAGATTTGCTCTCAATGACTTCTCGTTCCCCATTTATCTGGCCTGATCGTCACGTGAAGCCAAGGTCCTGAAGACCCACAGTGGGATCCAAATCACTCTTGCTCGCTTGCAGCAGGGTTCTCATCACATCCCTACGTGAGGTGATTCTGTGATAATTTCAACTGGGTTTGGATCCTTAAAGAAGACTTTTCTCATGCTTGTAGCACATGCCTGCAAATCTGAGGCAGATGCACTGGGAAAGGAGAAGGCAGCTCCTCTCCTTGTTTTATTAACTGGAAATTTACATTATTTTAAGGGAGTCTCATGATATTGAGAGGCCTCGCCCACAATGTGTGTGGTTTTTTGGGGTTTGGGGTTTTGGTTTTTTTAATGTACATTTGGTAATACTGCCGGTTTAGCCAGGGGAAAAAAAAAACCAACAAAAACGAAGGTGCAGGATTTGCATAAACCATCCCAAAAGTTTTGGATATACCCTGAACTTTTGCTAATGAACAATTAGCCAGCTGCAGACCTGTTGGGGAGAGGAAGAGGAGGGAGAGGTAAATTTGAGCCCGAACCCAATGAAAATAGGTGCAGGGGAGAAGGATTTGTCAAGAACACCCAGGTTCCCGCCCACTGCGCAGGAGGGAGCCAGAGAATTCCAGGGATGGGGGAAGGAGCAGTGGGAGATGTTGTTGTTTTTAAATCGGGAACCGGTCCTTTGCCAAACCCACCTCCCGTTCTCGTGTTGTGCGATGCTGGGATGCAGCTACACACCCCTTTCACCCTGGAACCCTTCCAAATCATTCCGCTTGGCAGCTGTAAAAATTGATTTCAGTTTGGAAATGGCTTGTGCTTCTTCAACACTCCACTCCTATTGGGATCATAACTTAGGCGGGATCAAGTGCCTTGTTGTCTAAGACGCGGATAACTCTTCTTTTTGGGACTGTTGAGGCTCGGATGACTGCGTTGTGTGAGGCAGATACACATGAATTGCAAGGAAGGGTAATTTATTTTTTTCACTTTTTTGGCTCGGAGGACTCCTTTTTAACGCGCCCTCAGAACGGAAAACGTGCATAAACCCATTTGCCTGCAATGACTGGATGGCTCAGGGGTAACGGTGTATCCTCCTGAGCCTTTTGTCTAACATTTAGCAGCTTTGACACTATCGGCATCGATAGCGATCAAGAAGATCTTTCCGTCTGATTTTTTTCTTTTCACCAGGCTAAGAGGGATGATCATGCCAACCTGAAAGGTAGGAAAGAACTGGAATTCGTAGCATGGGTAACTCTTGTTGCAAGGAGCTGGTAGGATTGCAAAACTAGTTTCGGCAGTGTCCAGAGCTATAGTTGTAACGAAGGGAGATGTTGCAAGTCTCTTCCCTTTGCAAAGTGCCTTCCAAAGCGCAGAGGGTGATGTTATGTGGCCAGCTCTCAGCCGTGAGCCTCTTGCGATGGTGTTTTCTCCTTTGCTCCTGTGGTGGTTTGCGTGCTCTTCTGCTTGAGTCAAACTGAAACAAAACGTCCCTCAACCAAAAATACTTGCTTGGGCCATTCCTTTTACAAGCTGAATTTCTTGTCCCCCTCTGCTGGTAGGAGGTTGCATGACCTAAAGCCCACAGCATCACGAAACCCCGGCAAACGTGACCCTCGTTGCGGGCTCTGGAGTAATTTGATGTGAGATGCTGAGGTTCAGCCATAGTAATCAGAGTGAGCCTAAGCTGCTGAGCCCATGGACAGGGTTTCCAAGCCTTCTCCTTCCCGATGATGTCCTGCTTTTTCCAGCTTGTGGAAACCGAAGCTGTCTCTTGCGCTAGAAGGGCTTAGATGAGGAATGGGATTCATGATGTTGTTCCATGCAGTGCCATGCTTAGGAAAAAATTGAGCTGAAGTCTGGAAATTGTTTGCTTGATCTCTTTTAAAACAAGATGTGTTACAAGAGCTCTCTGTGACTTTTCCATCTCCTGTGCGTGGTAGCTGTGCATAGAAACTCCTCATACAGCTTTCAGGAATGAACCTAAAACCTTCTAGAACCACCCCAGCTGTGTTCCCTACAGCCCTGGTCCCTGGGTAAATTCTTCTCTTCAGAATGTGGACTCAGAAGTCGTGATTTTCTTGTGGACTGGAATCTATCCTGAGCATTAAAATAAGTCAAGCTTTGACCACTGGACCATCAGTGAAGTTTTCCAGTTCTTTCTCCACAGCCTGTTCTAGCTAAGAAAGCAGCTTTTCCTTTGCCAGATGAGTACAGGTTTTGTCACTTTCTGATAGAAGCTGAGCACAAATGTTTGGTGCCTGGGGTGCTGCATTTTCAGATCTGGAAGATTACGCTGCTTTTTGAGGTCTTTTCCTTCATGACCTTTCCTTTCCCATTATCTTGTACCATTCTCTCCTACCTCCAGAACAAAATGAGAGGCTATGTGTAGCCAGCCCCACCATCGAGCTGTGAGTCGTGATCTATAAAGGATAATAGCTTTGTGTCTTCCTTTATAACTCCACAAAATAACTCAGTGTTCCATCTGAGGAAAGCGCTCACATGCTTTAAACCTCGCTAAGCCACTGGGACTTGATTACTTCTTGGAGTGTTTTAATTCATGTATTTTGATAGAGCGAACTGCGAGCCTTCCCTTGGCTTGGTAGAGCAGGAAAACTATGTACATGTGATAAACTGGAGAGCCAAAGTGGGGGAACAATCGTGTCTTACTGCAAAGCCAGGGATGGAAGCGGTGAGCCCTGACCTTTAACTTTCCCCTGAAAGGAGCCCCTTCCCAATCCTTTCCTGCCTCTCATCCTTCTAGGCACCCCACACCGCCTGCATCCCCTTGCCTCTGCTCCCTAATGCTACAATTCCATTGCTCTTTTTCAGATTAAAACTGAAGACCTCAGTGACTCCTTGCAATCTACAATCCCCCCTAGGTCAGGCCACCTTGTGCAGGGATCATCAATGATGCCCGGAAGCCAAATTGCAGGGGTAAGTGATTCCAGTGCTTCACAGACTCCGAGATCTGAAGTGGCACTTTGAGGTACTTAGTATTTTGACAAGAGGAGGCTTCAGGGTATGATGGACACTGAACTGGAAAGGAGTCTGTTGGCAAAAGTCAGTTTCCTCCTCAGCCTCTTTCTTTTCCATAGAAGGTTACACATGGGTTCAAAGGTAGACCGCACATGTACTTGAAAATGATTTCCTTTGAGGGTTTACTAAATAGGTAAACTCAGGAAATCTCTTGAACTGAAAGTAATTGAAGGCTGAGACAACACCAAGGGGAAGTGTTAGATATGCTTGCTTTCTCTTTCGTGAACATCTGGTTAATGCCATTGCTGGAGACAGGATGCTCAGCTAGAGTAACTCTTGATGTGAACCAGTATATCCATCCTTGAGTGTATTGCCTCAAGTTGATTTACACCCAGAGAAGAAATTCCTTGAGGGATGTTTTCCTAAGGTAAAAAATGGGAGTTGAGCACTTAACTCTTGTTAAAAGCTAGTGTGAGTTAGATGCCAGAAGGCCACGCAGCTGCTCAGCAATCAGTAGTATCTATCTTCCCTATTCTTTTGCAGGGTATTCAGATCCCTTACAAAATCTGGCACTGTTCAATTTCCCCAAAGCTTCAAAACAGTTCTTGGGAAGCTCAAGGAGCTCTGATTGAGCAATGAGTTCCTTTAAAAATATACTTCTAAAGAGTTGGTTTTACTGGAGCATCTGCATGTGTGTGCCTGTGTCTATCCCAAGCAAATGCAAACTCTTATCCCCTACTCCCAACAAAGGTTCTGGGGCTGGGACCCCACTAATGTGACAGAGAGTTAGCATGTAATCCTAATCTCTCAGGATTGCCTGATGTGATGGATGCATATCATTTCCTCTAGCAAAGATCAGGAAACACTTTTAGATCTGGTCACTGTGTTCATTACAGTGTATTTGCTGTAGGTGCAGTGAATCGGGCTCTCTTGGGCACTGCTTCTTTCCCATGCCAGCACACGGCTGCCTGGGAAAGCAGCCTTCCATGGAAAGCAGGCTCTCGGTGAGATGGGACAGTCAGTTGCGCTTCCCTGTGGAATTTTAGGGAGTTCCCTCTCTAAACCACCTGGAAGAAACTGGAATCCCAAAGGTTTCCCTGTGATTTCTGACAACCAGGGTTTGATTGCCAGCACCTCTGTATGCTGTATGAAGAGCAGACATCTGAGATTTGTTCTTCCCTTTGTTTTTCCCCCTATAGGATATGAGCTCTCTCCACACCTTGCAGCAGCTTGTATTGCTTCCTGGTCATATGCAGTCAGTTCCCCAGTTTCTTCTGTCTCAATCACAGGCCGGGCAACAAGGTAAGAGCAATAAAAGCTGAAGGGGTGTTGTTATAAGCAGATGCTTATCTAGGGAAAACCTCTCTTCTCTTTGCTGTTGCTTTTAATCTGGTCTGTTACTTTACCCAAGCATGATGGCGTCTTTACCCTGTACGTTACCAGATGCTGTTTCCCACACCTGGGATGATCCCGTACGCGTGTAGTTGCTGCGGGAAGGGTCCAGTCCCAGAGATGCTCCTGGCACCTTGCGGCTTGTGTACACCAAGAGTGCCACCTTGGGGCCGCTCTTTGCAGACTTGGTAGGGATCGCACCTCTGGAATTCCGGCTGGCTTTCAGGAAAAGGGCAAGGAGCCTGCTCCGTGGGGAGCAGCTGCAGCCTGCCTGGGCTGCCAGCATCGCTGGGTTAGCACTCTTCATTTCATGCAGAAAACTGATGAGAGGTTGAGTTGATCTCAGGTACCTTACAGAGAGTAAATCCGTGGATGGAACTGAGCTGCTCTGATGGAAGGATGGCGCTGGTACTAGAACAAATAGGTCTAACCTAGCCAGGAGAAACCCGGGGATGAGAGCTCAGAGGTTTGGAGTTGCCAGCAGTTGTTCCCAAATCTTGCTCCAAGCCATGGAGGAGGACAGGAGGCAGAACTACTGAAACCCAGTGTAATCAGACCCATGAAAGGGATGAAAGCACTGCGGACTAAACTCACTGCTAGAGAAAGTCTCTGTGTTTCTGTTTATACTAGCAATTTTAATGGCATTTCTCCAACAACGGGGATACAAGCATGCCATTGATAAAGTTTTATGCTGCTTGTAGACGGACAAACATAGGCCTTGATCCATAACCTGACAGACAGATGAAAGGGGACGTGGGTCCTTTGCTCACATTCTTGATTTATTCCAGCACAGAGGTCCCTCCACGTGACCCAAAATTCAGATTTAAAACCTTAAAATCTCTGCAGCTTGACTCTACTGATACATAAGCCCCAAAAGAAAATGTTTGTTATAGGCAGGTGGGAAACCTATTTGTCTTTGGCAGCATAAAAACTCTATTCTCAGCCAAATGATGCTGAGTGCTGTATAAAGAAACTACTTGATATATATTTCCCAATAATCTAGTATTTAGTTAGTTTGAATGGCAGGGTCAGGATAATCTTTTGCTCACTGCTTGCTTTCATTCATGTATAATAGGAAACATACTGCAAAACTGTTGTTTGTGCTTATAGAGTGAGTTTTTTGTGTTAAGTGACTTCTTTTGGCAGCTATAACCCCTGAAACACATGGACGCTTGCTTGGCCATGACCCTTTTTGGTTCCAGACATGATAAAGACTGGATTTTCTGGCTTTTTGTGCAAAAGCACTTCCACTGGACCAGATGATTGCCAAGTTTTAATGACCCTTTGCCATGGGCAATCACAGCCAGTGGGGAGTGAAAGTGAAGGCATAGACTGTTTCTTGTGGAATTAGTTGTTTGCTACAGATACAGTGGAGCATTCTTCATACCAAAGAGATGCATGGAATATTCCTGAAGTTGTCCTTCAGGCCATCATGGAAAACCCTTGATGTTCCTGAGGTCTGACTGGTGGGTACATCGGTCCATGGGTTTCATGGCCAAAGGGACCTGGCTGTGAGCACACATCTTGGTTTGTTTTTTTGTGTTTTCATGCTGGTTTTAAACCAGATCTGTCCCCAGATCTGATTCATTATGCTCTGATGTGATTATTAAAGCCCTTAAAGCAGCTAATGCTGGTGCACCTAAATAAGGAGGTGAGAGCTCTGTACTGTGAAGATGGAAGCAAGCAGCCAGGTAGATGCTGGGAATACTGTCAGCCAAAATATCGCTGCTGAAGTCTTCATCTTAGCAAAACACAGCCTTGGTCCCATCAGCTGTCAAACCGGTGATTCCTGACTCCAGCCCATCATTTTCATTTGAGCTAGAGCTTTCCTTTTGCAAAGGTGTTCAATCATGATTTTAAAGACTCCAAATGACAGAGCATCTGCCATGTCCCTAGGCAAGCCATTCCAGTGATTAATTACCTTCACTGTTCAAAATGTGCACCTCATTACCAGCCTGCATTTGAAATTCAAAGTTGTTCCAGCATTAGAGGAGGCTTATTGAAGCTCCAATCTAAATAAATAAATGGGATCCTGCACGTTCAGATCTAAATTAAAAGAGGGAAGTCAGAAAGGGGGGAGTGATTGATTCGGGAGATATTTTTCCCAGTTCTTTTAGCAGGAGTCCATAAATTTGTATAGCTTCCCTGTGACTGTCAGTTGCAATCAATAGAACATATTGACTGTTTCAAGACAGGTAATAAATCCTTGCTGAATTCTATAGGCTTCACTCACAACAGACTTGAAGAATCTGACTGCATTTCTAGGGAACTACGCTGCTTTGGTCACTCCTTAATCCTTCAGGGCATTGCTTGTAAGAGATACAGGCTTGTACTAGGCAGTTTGTCAACTAAACAATTATGCAGTCTCCATAATACTGGGTTTTGTTAGTTTTATAGATTCCCCTTCTTTTTCCTTTTCATCATTTTCTGTCAGCTTATATATTCCAACAGAAATTCAATTTATTTGAAATACAGTAGAGCAGAAAAGAAAGGGTCAGATGGCTTCAAAATGATGCTTCAAAATGAAATGTAGAGTAGGAAGCAAAGTGGGGTAGGCTCATGAGATTAACTTTTAACAAGATCAGTGCTGAAAGCTGGAGTCAGAAAAGCTTATATTGGAAAGAAGATGCACTCTTCTAAAAGCTGCAATGATTAAGCACTGGGAGAGATCACTACTAGGGGTGTGCTGCTTGGCATCTGAAATCAAAGTTAGGTGTCTATGTAAAATGTCTGTGCCTTAGTTCAGCCTTAGATTAACTAGCTCCATGCTGGGATCAATGGATACTTTCCCTATATCATTATTGCAGTAATCCCTTTCAGGCCAAGAAGCCATGGGAAGAACCTTTTCTTTCTCATAATCCAACTTGGAGCCATCCACATTTGTAATGGCTGAAATGCTCATATTCTGAACAAGAGCTAACTGATGTTTTCCACTGAGAGCTTCCTGAGGCGCTCTGGTGCCGGGTGATGTTCAGCTGCCTAGATGCTGATGAAGGAGCTGATCTGATCACATCTGCCTCTTTTTGTCTCCTCAGCTTTGCAGCCAAACATCCTCTCCTTCCCTCAGCAACAGGGCAGCCTTCTCCTCTCCCAGCCAGGACCCAGCCTGGCATCACAGGTAACTTGCCCCAACATACAATCCCACCATGAGAAGCACCCATCCACAAAAGGTGCCGCTTCATTAAGGACAAATGTACTATTCCGTCGTCGTGACTTTATGCATCTTCATTCTAACAGGCTGTGGGGCGTTCTGGCCTCCCTGGCTCATCCGTTGAACCCCACCTGGATGTACCCCAGCATTTGCAAGTGGCAAAGCACCTAACTCCATCAGGAGCTTCTGAGGAGCCCAGTGACTTGGAGGAGCTGGAAAAGTTTGCAAAGACTTTCAAACAAAGGCGAATCAAATTGGGGTTCACGCAGGTGAGCAGCCCCATCAGAGGGAAGAGCGGTGTCTCTTGTGATGTGGACTTGTTGGGCTGGGGGAGCTTGTGGCAGAGGCATGGGTGCACTGGGGGCTGGGTTAGGTACAGTTTGGCTTCCTTTGGAGAATCCCCTTCCAAGCACATAACAGACAAACCCTTCCAGCTGCTTCATTACCGTGATCTCATTACTGAACCTTCTTCAATATAGAAAGACTCAGGGGTGTAGGGTAGATTCCCATGGGAAAAGAATACACTTTCTTTGGAAGGCAGGCCTTGGAACTCAGGCTGATTCTATTCTGGAAGCAACCTGAGAGGAGGGCTGGCAGCAGGAAGCTGGGAAGACGTTTTCTGAGCTCACGTTGTGATTTGCATCTTCCCTGGCAGGGCGATGTTGGACTTGCCATGGGGAAGCTTTATGGCAATGACTTCAGCCAGACCACCATTTCCCGCTTCGAGGCTCTCAACCTGAGCTTTAAGAATATGTGCAAGCTCAAACCGCTGCTCGAGAAGTGGCTGAGTGATGCAGGTAGGTGACATCACGTATATCAGTGCCATCAGCCTTGGCCAGGATGAGAGGATCCACCCGAGAACCTCCAATGAAAGCCAGGGAAATCAAAGCTGGAGCTAAGATCTCTCAATATCCATAGCTGAGTTGGTAATAGACTACTTTGTGGATCACACAGCTGCCTGGATATCAGACCACATCTGTCTTTTCTCCCTGGCAATATGGGATTCACATTGTGATTTGGTGTTTGGGCCGGTCACTTCCCGCATCACCTCTTGCTCTGTTGCATGGCCTGGGGTGAATCACTGGGCTGGTCCATTCAGTCCCTCCCTATGTAAACTACCAGAATAGGAAGGGACTCCTAGGAAAGTGCTCAGAGATCAGCCCTTAGGCAGCAATTAAAAAAGGAAGGTATTACTGCAAGGGGAATCCCCAGTAGGAGCAGGATTAGGCTGATGTCCTCTGCTGGCTGCAAACCGGTCTAGGAATGGCATTAGTCTAATGTGCTTCACACAGCCATTTGGGAGGTGACCAATTTACCAAGCCAGGAGGTGTCTCAGCTACATGAGACCTGATCCATGGGGTTTAAGTCAGCATCTTTAACTGTGTGAAATTAAGGCACTGGGAAATGCCTGGTCCCTGTCGGAGGAGGCTGGAAATCAAGCTGGAAAAGGAAAAATAGTGTGTTAATTAAAACTTTAGCATTCCTATTTCTTTCCTGATTTGGACACCATCATTGATGGATTTGGGACTGTTAGAGCCATTTAAATCAACATCAGAGGAAGGACACAATGTAGGAACATTTTACTTACTTTGAGAGGTGCTATATTTCACAGAAAAGCTCAAGGAGTGAAAATAACTCATCGTCTTCTCAATGACCTCCTTCTTTCCCCAGAATCTGCTCCTTTAGATTCTTCCATGAGCACTCCCAACTCCTACCCCTCAGTGAATGAGATGTTTGGACGGAAAAGAAAGAAGCGAACCAGCATTGAGACCAACATTCGCTCCACACTGGAGAAAAGATTTCAAGATGTGAGGGGAAAATCTTTCCATGCGTTGTGGGCTCTCTTTGGGTTTGGCATTTGCTAGGTCATAGTAGCACTGAATCCTCAAGAAGAGAGGTCTCGTTTGTTTGCTTGCTTTGATAGCAGGTTAGAAGAAAGGGGATAACAGGAAAAGTGTCAAAACCAAAGAAATCAGATCCCATTATTTCCTTGATAAATGGAGTTTTAAAGGAATTAGTTTCATCCCCACAGCTCCCCATTCTCATTCACTGACCAGTGCCATAACCAAAGCTGATTTCCTGCACCCTTCTCTCTCTGAGTTGTGACCTTGTACCACAGGAACAGCGCAGCCACGTAGTAGCATGGAAAGGATGCCCCATTAAGCAGGTATTCTGAGACCCAGAAGTAGCTGCTCCATTAATTGCTGCTGAATCACTTCACAAGTGGAGCCTTTTAGTTTTGAGGCATCAAGATTTTAAAAGAAAAAAAAAAATCACTGCAGAGAGCAAACAGAGCTTGAAATCAGTAGCACTAAACTGGGCATTGAAAAATGCTCATCAAAACTGGGTTTGACCAGCCCTTGTTTTTCTTGGTTTCTCCTTCATATCTGATCATATCACAATTCCCTCTAAGACTGTTAATGAGAACAAAAGACACTCATTGTCACATCTTTATCGGTACCTCTTTTTTTTAGCTAGTATGAGCCATTCTTTGCAATTGGAGAACTGTCTTGGCATCTCCATGCTAGGTATTTTTGACCCTTGAGTTTCCAACTCAGATCAAAACCCACAGAGCTAAATGCTGTCAAATGCAGCAGACAATAAGTGGCTCAGAAGAAAGGATGAGTACTATTATTTCCCTTCATAAATGAGAGATGGAGGAAGAAAGAGAATAAAGTTGGAACTGTTCACCCTGGAGAAGAAAAGGCTGCATAGAGACATCATAGCAGCCTTCCAGTATCTGAAGGGGGCTGCAAGGATGCTGGGGAGGGACTTTTCATTAGGGACTGTAGTGACAGGACAAGGTTCAAACTTAAAGAGGGGACGTTTAAGTTAGATTTAAGGCAGAAGTTCTTTACTGTGAAGGTGCTGAGGCACTGGAATGGCTTGCTCAGGGAAGCTGTGAATGCTCCATCCCTGGCAGTGTTCAAAGCCAGGTTGTATGGAGCCTTGGGTGACATGGTTTAGTGTGAGGTGTCCTTGCCCATAGCAGGGGGGTTGGAACTGGATGATCTGAAGGTCCTTTCCAACCCTGACTATTGTATGACTCAATGAAATGGCTTTCTTGAGATGCTGCAGGTTGGTGTACAAACAGCACTTGGAGCCTGTGTGTCCTGTGTAGTGATAAGACCACCAGCAGCCATAAGCTTCCCCCCAAGCAATGATTTAGGGTGCTGTTAAGATCAAAGAGTGTGGTGCCTTATGCAATAACAGGTCCAGGTACTGTGACTCACCCCCCACTGCTTCCATGAGACTTGATGTCGATTCAGAGGCACTTTCTGGTTCACAGGACATAATCTCCCACCCAAATATTTGCCCTTTGATTTAGAAGCACATTTTGTCCCCTCCCCAGTTTACAGCCAACCCCACCCTGTTGTCCTCTGCCTTTCCACCCTTCATTGATGCTGTAAATTACAGCTCTTTGGGACTTTCTTTAACCTCTTGCCCTTTCTCAGCAGAACCCCAAGCCCAGTTCAGAGGAGATATCCTTGATAGCAGAGCAGCTCTCCATGGAGAAGGAGGTGGTTCGGGTCTGGTTCTGCAACCGGCGTCAGAAGGAAAAACGCATCAGCTGCCCAATACCATCCCCCATCAAATCACCTATCTACAACTCCAGACTGGTGAGGGGCTTTGGATTAAGGAGTTCTACATTCCAGCTCAAACAAGAAGGGAAAAGGGAGGGGGGAAATGCAGCAGGGTTTGCTGGAAAAGGAAACGGGACATTTCCTTGTACACACAAGTCCCTCAGTGGCTGGCAAGGCCGCTTCACAGTGCAGTGGGTGACTGTATCTCCAGGAATGTGCAGAGAGAAAGGTGGGCTAGCCACGGATTGCACATATAATCCACGTCACAACCTGAATGGAATCTCATGCCCACACTTACAGAGCATTTACCTTTACTCTATTAGTGAACAATAGGAAGAAAATGCAAGTTTCCTAGAAGGTCAGTTTAATTGTAGGTAATTTATCGGAATAGAGGTGCTATCCCAAAACTTTCAATCCTGAGATTGGTAAAGAAAAGCTTTCCAATGCCAATGGAGAAGGAATCAGCATTCCATGGAATAACATCCAATCATTTCAATTTAGTTCTGAAATGTAATGGTGACTTACCATGATTGTTGGTTTATATCTGTGCAGAGATGCTGAATATACTTAAATAGTGCTAACTGTCCTCTCCTGCTGTGCATTCACACTTTGGCAAGTCAGGAAGGAGGAAAAAAGGAGAAACTATTGAGAGATGGTGAAAGCGTATCCTTGTGACCTAACGTCAGTGGCTACTGTGGATAACAAGCTACTATTGTATTTCTGCTGCTTAATAGTTGCTTCCACATCTAAAAGCAGCAGGAACCTCCCTACGGTGTTTAGTGCTGAAGCACATGCGAGTGGGAGGCAGAATACATATTTGCAAGCAGTATTTTATCTTGAAATCTGGGGTTTTGACTTCTCCATCAGAAGGCAGGAAAACATCACAAGGAGCTTGGTCACCTGTTGCACAACACATTGGGTTCACAGTCACAGACACAAAACGCTGCTTGCAAGCCATGAATTTCTGAAGCAGCAGCTTTGGTGAATAATTTCCCTGTGGATGCGTTGTGCAAAGTGTGCCTTTTGCTCATCAGTCACTCTGAGCAACACGGAGCTCGAGTATCGTGGCTGAACAACGAACGCCCCAGGCTCGCTTTGATTGCAGGCACCACATTACTAATTGTCACCTGAGAGTTCTCACCCATCAAGAACTCCTTGAAGGAAAAGGGATGATTTGGGCTCGAGACCCGGGTGAGCTGGGAAGCTTCAACTGGGGACATCCAATGTGAAACACCCAAAGGGCAGCAGCTCCTAGCAACCGGATTTTGTGTTTTCCAGGAAGTTTGGGTTGTGTTTGATAATTTCAGTGTTTTCCATAGCTGATCCACAAATTTAAACATATATATATAGACTAATACTTATTCTGGTTTCTTTCCATGGCCCTGGATATGGGAATGGTGCTTTTACACTAGTGTGTGAACAGAAATATCTCTGGAAGCTTCAGATGTGGCTAAGAAGTCTACCTGGGAGCCCACACACCTAAAGGGAATGAGAAAGGAGCGGTGCTTTGTGATCTGTACCCTCACAATGGCAACTGCTTACTCTTTGCTTCTGTTTCTCTCTAGGTCTCTACCTCAGGGTCCTTGGGGCCCCTCTCCGTCAATCCAGTGCATAACACCATGCCTGGGACTGGTAAGCCTTGAGAAACCTGCCTCACTCACCATTCCTTCCCTCCTTCCTCTGCTCCAGCTCTCTGACTACTTGGTTTCTAGGTCACATTTGCAGGCCACTTAAGACCCTTGGGTTTGGCCAGGGAAAGTACCCCCATATAACTAGTGTACACGGGATAAAACCAGCTGAGTCTGTCTCTTGGCTGGAACAAAGACATGGGAAGTTTCCCAGGCATGATAACATTCCCAGGATAATCCTAGGCAAATTTTATTGGGATGTTTAGGTTTGGGAGCCAGGCACGCCTAGAAGCCAAACAAGAGGAGTGCTTGGGGGTAGGTTACTGGTTACTGCCTTTCTTCAGCAGAACATTGTCAGATCTCCTTTGAGAAGTGTGATTCACACTAATAGCCATCAAGTACTACAGAAACAGCAGTACTGGAGCCCACCCTGTTTCTCTGTGGCTGGGGCACGGATTTTGCCTTGCTGCTGCAGGGCAGGCAGTGAATGAGATGAGCAACACGATGGGTACGAGATCTGATGGGACCATTTGGGCTTGGGCTGTGCGGGGCAGGAAAAGGAGATCCCGGTTTTATTGTGCTTTCTCTGCTACGCAGTAACATCATCGTGTTCCCCAGGGAACTCCAGCAGGCCCTCGTCCCCTGGCAGTGCACTCCATGCCAGCAGCCCCGGCACAGCCCAGAGCAACTCCAAAGCTGCAATGAACTCTACTGGTTTCAACTCTTCAGGGTAAGGCACTGGGGGGGTGACAGCTTGCTCCTTGGCAAAGGAATTGGGGGGGATTGGGAGAAAAGCAAAGGGATCTTAGAGAAGAATATGAAAGCCCTTAGAGAGTCCAGCAACGTGGAACTACATGGTGGCATGCTCTTACATAAAGCTTCATATCTAACCTGAAGCTTCTTGGGATACGGCTCTTTTTCAGCTTGAAGACAAATAGTAAATCAAGTTTTTCCTAAACAAAACCCTGTGCTGGTTAAAAAAGGATGGACTGAATGGAAACACTGTCCTTAAGGACTGCCCTAAACTAGCTCCTTGTGTGGAGGAAGCAGAGCAAAGCTTATTTTGCTGGATAACCCCCTGCACAGCCACTTTCCTCTCCTGCAGTGCCACCCAGTAGGATAACTTGGGACTGCTGCAGAATAACTATTCCACGGTGGCAGATGAAATAAGAGCAACGATTTTCCTCTACCTTGCATTTAGAGGTTACAAAAGCTTTAAGCCACACATACAGGCTCAGAGCACTTGTGGTTATTTCACTGAACATGCCTCTGCTGCAGTCTGAGCTGCTCAGGCCTCTCTGCACTTGCAGTTCCTGCTACATCACATAAAGAACGCTGTGTTAATAGGAAGGCAGCAGGGAGCAGAGGGCGTTTACCTGTAGCTGCTGGGCTTTGAGTCATAGATCATCCTGTGCTGTGAATCAGACCTTCTCTTACGTGGAGGAAGTCCAACAGCCAGGTAATATGTGAAATCCTGAGCACAATTGAAGGTGTTGCTTCGAAAGGCAGAGGTTTTTCTATAAGGATCGTTCACTGGCTGCCAAGTTAAACTAAGGTTACAGAATAATAACGCCTTTTATTGCAAAGGGATGCTGTTTAACAACATGGCAATTGTAGCTCTGATTCCCTATGTTGCAAACAGATCTTGGTACCGATGGAATCAACCTACCTACCTCCACTGAGATGACTCCTCCTCCACCATGTGTAAAAGGAGCTTCTGACTTCTAGCTATGGACCAACTTCTCTAGGAACAATGCTTGGGGCAACATCTGGTGTTCCAGTGCCTTCAAAATGCTGCCAAATGAAGGTCTTGTTTAAGGGAGCCCATAGCAGCAGAACTCTCCAGGGACTCAAACTGCAGCTGACCTTCCCCAAGGATTCTCGACGCCATCAGTGACACTGTAATACTCCTCCAGGCATTCACTTCAAGAACGAGCCCTTGCTTAGCACTATTAGCATGAAACACTGCCCTCTGCTTGCAAATCTCTGCATTCACACTGGATTGCCTGGCAATCTCTGATCTGGAAGGATTTCTATGTCAGGACCCTCTTTTTCCCCTCTCGCTCATTTCAGAGCTTCCCATAAGAAGGGTCTATCATGCTGTTACTATCACGCACACATACCATAAACCCCCAAACTGAGCCGAGGTTACCCAGTTCATTTCACCAGAGACCTGTGTCTAGCTGTGAGCCTTGGTTTCCAATAGACTCCCAAGGTTGATGGCACTGTGCTTTACCCACTACCAAACTTGCTTCGCTTTGAGCCGTTCTGTTCTCTTTCTAAAGGGGCTTTTTTTCCTCCCCAGTTTTCTTTCTCCTTTTTATTTTTTTTTTTATTAATATTTTAGAGCCTTCTTATTTTTTTCCTTTAAAAAAAAAAAAAAATGGTTGTCTTTTGCAAAATCCGTGTCCAGCTCTTGTTATTGTTCACAACTGGCCTCAATGCCCCACTGGAGGATGTCACTGTTTGCAAACCTTGGGTTTCTGACTCCATTGCACACAGAAGCAGTTTGCATTGATTTGATGGGACAAGGGTTAGTGTTGACCTTCCCTTTTGCTTTCATTCATCCTTTGGCTTCTCTCCGATACCAAACAAAACCAACCTGGAGCAGAGGTGTGCCTGTGTTCCGGCCTTTCCTGAACTGTAAGTCATGGAGCTTGCCTGTTCCCTGCAGCATGCTCTTCTGGTGCTGGGGGGAGAAGTTGTATTGCTGATCTCGAGGTCTGTGTGTGCAAGTGGTTCTTAACTTCATGGGATGCCAAAGTGTAGGAAACGTCACCTTTCACAGTGCATTACCAGGGAAATGCAGTTACTTTGCAACTGTCCCTCTGAACAGAGGTGGGTATTTAAAGCAGACTTGAGTGCTACCCGTCCCTGGTCAAGTTGTCTATGGGTACAAGTAATGGATTCAGTGGAACTAGAGTAAATGAGTACCTGATATTGTAAATAGATATTTTTGAGGAGCCTTTTTTTTTTCCTGAGGACTTTTTTTTAGGCAAAATGTGAGCTTTTTTTTAAAGTAAATATTATCCTTTTTCATTGCTGGGGGGGGTGAAATACTGATGTTTCTTATCCTACTCATCATGATGAATCATTGCTATAGGGAGTCTGTGAACCTTAAGAGTGTATCAGCTACCTTCACGCAAAGTATTGAGCCCTACACGCACGTTGATCTAGAACAGCAGCTGTTGCTTTAAGTAAGGTTTTGTTACAGAAGCAGACACTGATAATGACAACTGGAGAAGATAGGGTAGCATTTTTGGGGAAAATAGAAATGAAAAAAATCTCTTTTTTTTAAATAATAAAATTGGGGTTTATTTTGGTTTTGTTTTTTTCCAAAATGCCCTAATACAAACAAGGGAAAAACTGTATTTCTGCTTCCTGCCTTCCCCATCACCACTCTTTCACCTCTAACTCGAAACACTTTCATCGTATCTGTTTTTTCAATGGAAACATTAAAATTAAAGGAAACTTCTGGTTTGGGGCAACAAAATCTGGTGTGATTTAAAAAACATGCTAAGGAAAAAAAAGACATGCAGACGGGAAGTATTAGTCCGACTCTCCTGGTTGCTATGGCCCTTCTTTCTGCCTTCCTTTCCTTGCATGCTGGCTGGGTTGATTTCAAGCCTTGTTCTCCATTGCTTTCCCACTACATATAGAGATGTGTAATGAACTATTGGAATATAATCATTGTGAAGAGAAGCTGGGACAGGTTCAGTACAGCCACGTGGGTGGATTCTCTTGGCAGTGTTCTTAAGGTTCCTATTACTGTCTCTATCAGGGACTTCCTTGTGGGAACTTCCCTGTCTTCTACAGCTAGAGTGACAGGAATTAAACATGACAGATTCTTCTATGGTGTGCCTTAATGACAGGGTTCTGGAAGTGAAAACGCATTCTCCTCCAGCCAAGAGAACGATCCTACAACAGGATTGTAGTGCTGCAACAACTGCATTTAAGCTCAGCTACCTCTTTGCTGTTTCAAAACACCCAGGGACTGGAACCAGTTTTTATTCACACACAGGATCTTTGTTCCTGGAGAGAGAACTGAGGTTGCTACTGCACTTGAGTATTTCCCCTGATTAATTTCATATGAGCCTCTGCATTGAACTGTCCTGGAGGCTGGTGGGGTACGACCTGTACTCATGTGCAGGTAGAGGGGGTGGAATGGGAATTCTCCTGTCTCTGGATGGCATAAAACCCACAGCGGATTAAGGTGAGCCAATGCACATTGACGACTCAATCATGCCTTCCCCTGCTAAACCTGGCCAGGGACCATTGCTATGGGCGCTTGGGGGGGAGATGCTGTGAGTCCTGCAGGGGAGGTATAGGTGAGAGCTGGCAAATTCATAACCCCTGCCTCAAAGAGCTGCCTTTACTCTCAGGCCTTTCATTGAATCACCTCTCTTGAGCTCCTGTGAGGGCTGGCCAACACTGTGGGAGGAGGATGGAGGATGAAACGAATGATGTCTTTTCATGCCAGGACTGAGGAGTGATTTGCGTGTGACTGCTCACCGTGCTGCAACGCTATGAATAAAGTCAGGAGGACTTGGATTTTGACCAAACAACAGCCCTGGCCAGGGATGAAAAAGAGGGGTGCCTGGTGCTCTGTAATTATAAAGACCCCCTAAGAAGCTTCCAGCTTTTCAAGCAATGATTTTACAATCCTTATTCAAAGCCGCTACCATATGAAAAAGACACGAAGGGATCTTGCTCCAGCCTCTTCCTCCTAAAATATAGATCTTCAAATTACTACTCTACATAATGGACACAAGTACATCACAGGATGGCACACTGCTAAGACAGTTACACTTCCTTTCCCTCTTCTTTCTCCCCCTTTTCTTCTCTTTTCCTTTAAAGATTAGCAGACAGGAAGAACAGATTTAAACCACCAATTTGTACCTTTGCACAACCCTATATTATTTTACTTCCTGCATGATCTTGGGCAAATTACTTAATCCCCATTAGATGATAGTGTTGATAACCCATCCTTCCTCCCAGTGCTAAACAGCATAGTTGAGGGATGATGAACATTACAGCTGATTCTGCTGCCAGCCACAATAGAATACCCTTCCTACACTGACCCTTAGTAAAGTTCTAGTTGCCAGCTCATTTCTCTTGTGACAAATCACAAGTTATTTCATAAGTATAAGCGATAGTTTAAAAGCCCAAAGTCACCATCCTTATAGCCTCATAGCCCTAGCATTCTTGCGTTAATCCTATAGCTGAAAGCCAAGCTGCAACTTGGTGACTGATTTCACATTCAGTTTACAGTCTTACTTCAACTCCTGCTTTCGGAGCCTCTTTGTCAAAAGAGACCAAAAATAAAGTTGTGAAAGGCAGCTCTTTGCAATTATAGTTGCTGTACGTGTATACACGCTTGTAACATAGAGAAGATGCATCAAGATCATCTGGCTCTTACCAGACAAGGACTAATCAATGCAATCTTCAGAAATCCCTCTAAGTAATTGGCTTCCACCAAAGCAGCATTTCGTACATTTGGGGATATTATTTCTGAGAGGTGGGAGGGAAATTGCAAGCGCATTAAATGCTGAGTAACGGTATCTGCACATTAGTACCGCAGCTGAGCTCAAAGCCAAGCTGTGCCAGGTGTTGTGCAAACACACCACGAGAGTCGATCTCCACTCCAAAGTTGATAAACACAATAATGAGGCGCTCAGATTGATTGATAAACTGGTCCTGAAGAGGGAAACAAACATTAGCAGCTTGTTTGCTTGACAAGAAGCTGTAGTTGGAAGGGGTACCCCTGGCTTCTAGGAACACTTCCAGTCTCACAGGAGCATCTAAGGGAATAAAAACACACGGAGCAGGAAATTCCAGCTTTCCAAGGCCAAGAGTCACCCTCCACAGCCATAGAAAAACAATGCTGGGAACAATTGCTCACAGCAGATGTGCCTCATAGTGGTTATAAGAACTCACATCATCTCCTGGCCAACCTGACTTGCTCCCAAAGCAGCCCTGGTGCCTGAACAGTCTCCATGCTCTCTGTCCCTGCTTTTCTCTTAAGGAGAAGAGCTCCTCCATCATTAGGACTCAAGCATCAGTGACGTGAACCCCAGGAGCAAGTGAAGAGAGAGCTGTCAGCTGAGTCCCTGTCTAAAAGACATCTCTGTGGGTCCCATCCCAATTGCTTGTGAGTATACGGGGTGTGATCCCATTTGTCTTTCATCTTTATCTGTGGTCTGGTCATTCACAAGCTCGCTGGAGAAATGAGCCAGATCCCACTCGGCTCCAAAACCAAATCAAGGACATGGTGGGAAGCTACAGGCTGGCTGTAGGTGGATCTCTCTCTAGTTCCTGCTCTCCTCAGCCAGAGACAACTGAACTGACATCCTCAGAATATAAAAGAGATAAATGCTCCTGGCTTTCCTCCCTGTTGACAGATGCTGGAGTGCATATAGGAGATGCACTCCTATTAATAACTCACATCAAGGGTGGCTTTTCTGCGTGTATGCACATGAGGTAGGAGGTGGGATACCCAATACATCTGTGATGCTCGGTAGTGCCCAAGTTCAAGCAAGACTGGGAAGGGCTGGAAAATGAACAATTTGCTGTTGTATTTAATGTATTTTATTGTTCTTTCCCCTTTCTTCCTCCTCTGTCTTCCCCCTGTGAGGCAAATGACTGCAAGCTGGGAGAACAGGGCTCTGTTTCTTGCCCTTCCCATTTTTTTTTCTGTGGCCTGAAGGGAGACTTTGAGCATTTCTAAGTGTCTTAAGTGATCCCATCAAGTGCTCTCATCATTGCTGATGCTCACAGCCTTGGGACTTACAATCCTGGTAGAATTAGCATAGAACCTACCACTCCAGTACAATGCCTTTGGTAGCTAAACTTGAATTCAGGCTCACTGGTACAGACGCCAGCAGGGACCCATTGCCTGAGCTGCAGTGGGGTCACTGCCTGCACAGCCCATGGACTTGCTTCAGAGTGGGGCTGAAATGCGGGCAAAGAAGAGAAAAATAGGGAAGTTTAGCTCAAACATAAGATATAATCTACAATCCAACTAGAAGCATTTTTATAACACAGAGAACCATCCTATGGAGTGCAGCACACACACATCAGCCTGAAGTGACCATAGATGAGTTATTGGTTTCACTCCCAGCATTAGGAGCTCTTCAGCTGCAGAGAAGGCTTGGGTTGTTTCGGACACACAAACTGAATCAACAGAAGTTATGTGGTGCCAACCCCGACCTTGCTGCAAGGGTTTAGAGGCAGCACAGCCCTTCCCTGGTTACTCAGTCCTGCCCCTGCCCGTCCCTGCTGCTCAGCCCCAGCTCAGCTCCACGCTCACTCATCCTGTTCTGCTTGTTCTGTGTCACATCTCCCCGTGCATCCCGCACCACTCCCCAGCTCCGGACCCAAGCAGTCCCAAACTGCCTCAGTC